GTTGGCTAAGATTAAAGTAAATTCAATTAAGTAAATGAGTTTTAATGTAACAAAAAAAATGAGCTGGCACAAAAATTAAAATTTTGTTTTCTCTCTGAAAAGGATAATTTTCTTAACCTTTTGGTCTGCTCTTGATAAAGAGGTTATAAAAGGTGTTTCTTTGAGTAGGTCTACCTAAAAGACAGAAAATCTGTTTTGTTAAAATAATTCCCCTTGTTCAGAAGGACTGATGTTTCTATGTTAAGGTTTTTGGACTGTTTCTGTTGTCATTTTGAATATATAACTGAGTATTGTTTCACAGTGAGCATTGTTTCCTATTTGAACAAGTGTTTTAAAACCTTTTGATATTTTTGACAAGCTTTTCCCTCAAAAGAATATTGAAATCCTTAATGAAGACTTTCTTTTGACCTGGTAGAAGGAAGAAAATTTCTCTGAGGATTTTCAGGGGCCCTTGAGACTTCTCAAGGCAATTTGTTCTCTCTTCCTATAAGGAGGAAAATACTAAACTAATTATTATTTGGTCTATTAAATTACATAGGAAGCATTGTCAAATAAGTGATGATAAACTTTCTTAAGTGGTATTATGCACGTGAATGTGAATGCTATTGATATAAATGTTTTAAAATTATATAACATTCCTAAAATTCTGATCTGTCCTGGTTGTCAGCCATAATTCTAGTTATTATCTTGATGTCACAAAAGTAGCCAAGTTTCTTTGTCAATTGCCCTTTTGAGTCTTTTGTCACTTGTGGATAGTTGGTGTTTTACTCTGGTGCTTTTTGCTTTGGAAAATATGTTTTGTCTTCAGAGAAATTCATGGAAAGGACTCTGACACTCTAGAATACAGGTTTCTGATAAACTTTCAGATCAGAAAACTGAACTGGTTAAAAAATTACAGAATTCTAACAGAGAAACTGATGACCCTATAAAACTGCTAACAGAAAATTAATAAAAAAAATGGATTACACAGGACTGAACAAACTGATGAGGATGGTTATAATTTTGATTTTTTGTTTAAAATATTGCTGATTTAAAAAAACATTTTGGTTTTTTTTTCAGATTTAAGGAAAACTTTTTCTCAATCTAACTATGACTTATAGCAATTTGGTAAATTATATTTTTGTAAACAAAATTGCAACATTTATCTTTTTCTCCCTACCTTATCCCTCCAAACTTTGGAAACTCTTAGTAAGTATTGTTATTTTCATGGCAATATAGTTATTTTCATAAGTTCAATAAGAATCTGCTCTCCTTACAACAGGATATAATTGGAAACATTGGTTATCTTACCAAGCTTTGGCTGGACTGTCATATTTGAAAGAAACAGGCACAGACTCAGATATGACCAGACAGCTTTTGAGAAACAAGCATTGGACTTTATAGAATAAAACCACTTGGAAACATTGGCCTGGTACCTTGTTTCCTAGCAACCTTATGGATAAGTAAGGAAGGTCACTTATCTGGCAGGTGTGAGGAACCTCAATATCTTGGGGAAACTCAAAAGAAGAGAGGAATTCACCCAGATCTAAGGTATTGCAGGTGAAGCCTGTTGGCAAATCCTTGGCTTGGACTTCCTGGCCTTGAGAGGACTTTAAAGTTCAATCTGAGATTCGTTATGAAAGTTCCCGGGGCCAGCCTGGTGGTGCAGCAGTTAAAGCGCGCACGTTCTGCTTCAGCGGCCTGGGGTTCGCCGGTTTGGATCCTGGGTGCAGACATGGCACCACTTGGCAGGCCATGCTGTGATAGGTGTACCACATATAAAGTAGAGGAAGATGGGCATGGATGTTAGCTCAGGGCCAGTCTTCCTCAGAAAAAAAAAAAAGAAAGTTCCAGCAAAGCAGATTTAAAAGAGCCTATATGTGGGCCGGCCCCATGGCTGAGTGGTTAATTCGTGCGCTTTGCTTCGGTGGCACAGGGTTTTGCCAGTTTGAATCCTGGGCACAGACATGACACCACTCAACAAGCCATGCTGAGGTGGCATCCCACATGCCACAACTAGAAGGACCCACAACTAAAAAAATACACAACTATGTACTGGGGAGCTTTGGGAGAAAAAGGAAAAAAATAAAATCTTTAAAAAAAAAAGAGCCTATATGATCAATGGCTATTCTTGCTGTACTTATGTAAATAATTGGGCCAAGTTTATTGAAACTAAACTTATTTTGCAAATCAATTAGTCTCAATTTGGCTATCTTTGGTAAAAATGAGGGTGATTTTAGAGAGAAAAATTATGTTTCAGCAAAAAACTATAATACACATTTGTGGATATTAGATCCTAGTTCTGTTAATTGTCTTTGAGGTTTTTGTTTTCTACCTGTGAATTGGACTGGATCCTGAATTCTTCTAGTCTCCTGAAGTATCTGGCTACAAATCTCCAAACTAATGTTTTCAGTTTTTCTGGGTTTTTTTTTGAGGAAGGTTAGCCCTGAGCTAACATCTGCCACCAATCCTCCTCTTTTTGCTAAGGAAGACTGGCCCTGAGCTAACATCCATGCCCATCTTCTTCTACTTTATACGTGGGATGCCTGCCACAGCATGGCTTGCCAAGTCATGCCATGTCCACACTCAGGATCTGAACCGATGAACCCCAGGCTGCCAAAGCAGAACATGCGAACTTAACCACTGAGCCACCAGGGTGGCCCCTAATGTCTTCAGTTTTCTCCATCATTTTCATTCGGAACCATTGAGAACTTAACCTGACCTTTTTCCTGAAGCCTTGCATACTGAAGCTGAACAACTTGATATAAACTTAAGAGAGATTAATGTCTGTTGCTGTGTAAACTGTAAGCCACTCAAAGATACTTGAATGTCTGATGATATCATCAGAGACATTTCAAACTGCAAAAGATGCTTCAACTCTGACATCTAGAGATCTTGACTTGCTGCTCCCTGGGCTCAAGAACTGATTTATAATTTGCTCCAACCATTAACCTTGTTTTTTCTTTTTATTTCCATAGAAATACTTATTAAGTACCTGATTGCTTGCTTCTACAATATAGGCCTAACTTTGGGAGCCTACCTGCATCACCACATTCTAAAATGCATTTAACTGGACTGATGTCTTATCAGGACTAAGAAATGTGTTCAGTGAGATGAAACAATCTACCACTCAGCTTCTGGACTATAAAACTTCTCAAAGTTTCAAAGGACTGTGAAACTTAAAAGTTTCAAAGGTGGGACTGTGGGGGATTGGAATTGGCCACCCCAAGATATGCCTCTTTGGCATGAGGATTATTTTGGGCTGGTTACTTTTAAAAACTGCAGACATGAGAGAAACTCTGAAAAGTAGAAGTTACGCTTTGTAAAGAGAAATTTACATTTGTAAAGGAAATTTCCATCTGTAAAGGTGTCTCCCTCTCTGTACCAGGAAGAAGGGTGGATGACCTTATCTCTAAAAACTGTTATCAATGTGGAGGGCAAGGACTTAAATCTGCATGATAACATTACTCTTGTTTACTGTCCTCTTCTGGTCATCTCCCATAACTGACTCCCCCACCCCCAACATCCTCTTCTGCCTTTAGCTGAGGAGGGTATTTCAGATGGTAGCCTCTGCCATTTCGGCAAGTTGCTCAGTTTGCCTAAGTTTCCCCCACATATGGATGTTATAAAGCTTTGTTTAATTTTCTCCTGAATTTATTTCATAGTCCAGCCAGAAGGGCCTAGAGTGGGTGCAGGAAATGTCTTCCTCCCCTACACTAACTTACAGAGTTTGAAGTAGTTTGGATAAAAAACCAAAACCTGAAATATCTACATCAATCTATTCATACACACACCAAACCATTATCTTTGGTTACCTTGGGGACGGGGGGATTTTGAGAGGAAGGAAAGATTAGCATCCTCTTTATTCACTTATGTAATGTTTGTGACTAGCATGCACTAATTTTGATAAATAAATAATTCTTAAATAATACCAAGTTATTTCATATCCAACAAACAAAAAGTACTAGAGGAAGCAAGAAAGGCAACTGTATGTTATGGTTAGATCACAGGCTCTGGAATCAGAGTCGTCGGTTACTAGACCCTGGATGCATCATTTTGGGCTGTGAGCTTTAGGGCTGTGCAGAAGTCTACATCTAATTTTACTTATCTGTAAAATGGCAACAATAACAGCATCTGCCTCATAGGCTTGTTATGGGGATTAAATAATGCAGGGAAAGCATTTAACAGGGGGCCTGGCATTAATGATATAGTGACTTTAGGGAGGATAAAAGTTGAATTGGGAATGCTAATAACTTTTCTAACATTTCTACTCCTTAGAAACTCAGAAAGCAAGCTGTATGAGTCAGACCCCAGGTCAAAGGCAGGGCAAAGTCACTCAGCCAGTTTCACCTCTGGGACCAAGTCAGGGCTGAGGCACTGACCTAAGTGCCTTGAGATCTCAGCTGCTATTCCTTTAACATCAGATCCTTTTCTGAGTCTCTCTTAAAAGCAAGCTACGCATCCAGATGGATCAAAGAAATGGCCAAGTTCTTGAGGGAGAGACTGGAACTGGAACATCCTTTTCCATTATATCCCAACCACGAAAAGCCCTCCTGGGTCGGAAGTTTCAGAGACTGCCAAAAATTAATGCCCTTTGTGCCTCCTCAATAGCACCCCGACCTCAAATGCCCTTCTCAGCGCTTCCTTTCTCGCACCCATGCCCGTTTTGGGGCTCAGTTTCCCTCCACGAGTTCACACTATCCAGTTCTGTGCTCCCGGCCGCAGTGTCCCGTTAATCTTGTTTCTCCTCCTCTTCTGACCCCTCTCCTCTCCCTCGATTCCTCGCCCTCCGCCCGAGACTCCCCGCCTCCTTCGGTTCCTTCACCTTTACCTCAGTGTAACCCATCTGCCTCAATTACCCCTCAGCCTCCCAAATTACTCCTCCTCCTCGTCCTCAGGGACCGCTCCCTAGGCGCCGTTTCCCCGTGTCTACCCTCAGGTTTCCCTGCCTCCACCTCAGTTTTCTCCCTTCGACCTCAGCACCCCGGCTCTCCGCCCAGGCACTCCCGGTCTGGCCCTACCGGGCTGCTCCAGGGTCAGCGCCCCCAGGCGGCGGACGCCCTCCTCGTCCAGATCCCACTGCTCCGCCATCCCCGCCCGCCGCGCGGCGCCGCTCACCTGTCGCAGCCCGCGAGACCGCCCGGCGCGCGCCAGCCCCGCCCCCGGCCCCGCCCCGCGCGCCCCCGCGCTCCCGGCAGCCGTTATTGCCGCGGGCACGCGCCTGCCTGCCCGCCGGAGGAGTCCCGACCATGGTACGGAGCCCGCTTCGACGGGGCGCCAAAAGCACTGAAGTGGCGAATGAGGGAGCGGTGCGGCCGAGGATTAGGGCTATAGGGTTAGGGACTTGGCTCTGGGACATGGGGGGGAGGGGGGAATATGGCCCCAGCTTTGGGGGGTTTGGGGGCTTGCTAGCTCTGAGGAGTTGGGAGAATGCGCCGTTGAGGGATGTTTTGAGGGATGAAGTGTTCCCGCTCTGAGGCTTTGAGGGACTCCAGGTCTGAGGGGTGGGGGTCTGTCTTTTGACGGGGGTAAGTCTTCATAGCTCAGCGCTTGGGAACGTGGACTGTGAGGCAAGGCGGTGGGCCCCAGGTGAACGGGGCGGCGATCCGGATCTGAAGGATTGGGGGTGGGGGCCGCTCTCTGAGGCGGGAGGGGGAGCCCCAGATCTGAAACGTTGGGAACTTGGCTCTGAGGCATTGAGGTCCTGTCTTTAGCGCATGAGGTGGTTCTAGCTGTAGAAATTGGTTTGGACGGAGCTCCTTTGGGGGAAGAGGAATCAGTGTGGAAAAGATGCTCTTTGGGATGGAGTGGGGATGACTGTACTAGGGTTAGCCCATTTCCTGCAGTCAGCCTGGCACGCGTTTTGTCCTTCAAGCACTACAGGCCCCCAAGCTTGCCTGTGACTGAGGGCTCTCCTCAGGCTGGGATGGTTCTACGCCAACTAGCTCCTGAGCAGGCTTTGGGAAGAAAACTCTGGAAAGAACAACCACATCCTTAACCCCTACCCTCCCTCCAGCAGGCACGTCTTGAGAGCCCACCTATGGATGGGACATGTACGTGTAGGAGGGAGACAAACCTTTGAGCCAAGACCCTCTTGTCATACCCTCCCCTTAATAAGAAAAGAAGAACCAAGACCAGGAGAGTGGCTCACCTTTAAGGAGCAGGTTTTCTTTGGCATCCAAAATCTGCACACTTGGAGTACTTTCACTGAGCTCTCAACTAGCGAGTCACCTGTAAGGAGAACAGAAAGCAAAATCAAGAGTCCTTGCACACTTATGCTTTCTGGTCTAGGTTGGGCCCTTAGTTACTCTCAGCTTGTCATGTTCAGCCTTAGCCACGTGAAGGGCCAGGACTCAAAAGCCTAGAGGAGCTCATTAGATTGGCTTTTCCAACTCTGCCTCTGTGAGTCGTGACACCATTTTACAATTTGTAATCTTTCTCTTCATGTCCCCTTTCTTCTAGCCTCAAGTATGGCATATATGATTGCTCTTCCTTATATCTGAATATTTAGAGCAGGCTTATTATAAGAGAAAAGAACCCCACTCCCTTCTTTGTTGTCTGCATTTATTTTCCTTCCTCAGCTGTCAAAATAGAAGTTGCAGGTTTTTGTTGAAGTGGGCTTTTCCTCTCTTGAGCAATCACCTCTTACTTTAACACTCTTTCCCTCCACCAACGTTTTAATGCAAATTTTGAGACATTCAGAAAGATTGAAAGAATTGTACAGTGAGCGCTATGTACCTACTACCTAGATTCTACAATGAACATTTTGCTGTATTTGTTTCATAACATGTCCATCTATCCATCATTCTTTTAATCCATCTTGTTTTTTGATGCATTTCAAAATAAGTTACAAGTATTGGTACATTGCACCCCAATCACTTCAGCATGCATAATTTTTACCTAGAATTCAATATTATTTTATGGTTCTTCTTTAGGTAAAATTGTATACTGTTTACCACTCTCTAAATTTTACAAGAGTAGTGCTCCTTGAGTGTTTATTTTAAAATCTGATACAGATGGTTTGTACGTTTGATGGCTTTCTACCTTTCTATAGTGTTGAAAAGCTAGGTCATGTTGAAGGAAAATTGACAATTCAGTTATGAATAGATAACCTTGAACTTTTAACAACGGGCTGAGGAAGGTTAATGATCGTTGCTGTCTTTGTATAGTCATGTGCTGCTTAACGATGGGGATACATTCTGAGAAATGCCTTGTTAGGATATTTCATCATTGTGCGAACATTGTAGAGTATACTTACACAAACCTAGATGGTATAGCCTACAACTCACCTAGGCTATATGGTACAAATCTTATGGGACCACTGTCATATATGTGGTCCATTGTTGACTGAAACGTCCTTATGTGGCGCATGACTACATATATATAAAAAGGAACCCACAACATTCAGCTGTCCTGCCATGGCCTCGATAGTGTAACGTCCCTGCAGCTATGATCCCAAGAGAGCCCTGCATGTGCTCAATGGAGTGGGGCCACCTCATCATAACTCTTTTTTAAACAGCTTTAAGATGTCATTCACATACCATACAATTTACCATTTTAAAGTGTACAATACAACAGTTTTTCGTATGTTCACAGAGTTGTGGAACCATCACCACAATCAATTTTGGGGCATTTTCACAATCCCAAAAAGAAATTCCATACCTATTATTAGTCACTCCTCATTCCCCCTACAACTTTCTAAGTCCTAGGCAACCACTAATATACTCTCTATCTCTATAAATTTGCCTATTCTGCACATTACATATAGATGGAATCATTTAATATGTGGTCTTTTGTGTCTGGCTTCTTTCACTTAGCATAATGTTTCAAGGTTTCATCTATGTTGTAGCATGCATCAGTACTTCTTTCCTTTTTATTGACAAATAATATTCCATTGTATGAATATACAATATGCTACATTTAGTTTATTCATTCATCAGTTGATGGACATTTTGGTTGTTTCTACTGTTTGGCTATCATGAATAATGCTTCTGCGAACATTTGTCTGCAAGTTTTTGTGTGGACATAGGTTTCATTTCTCTCTTTTTTTGGTATGCTTTTTTTTGGTGAGGAAGATTGGCCCTGAGCTAACATCTGTTGCCAATCTTCCTTTTTTTTTCTTTCTTTTTTTTTGGTCTCCCCAAAGCCCCAGTACCTAGTCATAAGTCATTCTAGTTTTTCTGTGTGGGGTGTCGCCACAGCATGGCTTGATCATAGGTGCATAGGTCTGCACCCAGGATCCAAACCGGTGAACCCCAGGCCACCAAAGCTGAGTGTGCAAACTTAACCACTCGGCCATGGGGCCAGCTCCTCATTTCTCTTTTTTTTTTTTTGTTTAAGATTTCATTTTTCCTTTTTCTCCTCAAAGCCTCCTAGTACATAGTTGTGTATTTTTAGTTGTGGGTTCTTCTAGTTGTGGCATGTGGAACGCTGCCTCAACATGGCCTGACGAGGAGTGCCATGTCCACGCCCAGGATCCAAACAGATGAAACCCGGAAGCAGAGCACAAGAAAATAAGCACTCGGCCACGGGGCCAGCCCCTCATTTCTCTTGAGTTTATACCTAGAAGTAGAATTGCTGGGCCATATAGTAGTAACTTTGTGTTTAACATTTTGAGGAACCACTGAACTGTTTCCTGGAGCAGCTACACCATTTTACACTCCCACCAGCAGTGTATGAGAGTTCCAAGTTCTCCAATCCTTGTCAACATTTGTTATCATCTACTATTTGATTCAGGCCATCCTAATGAATGTGAAATCGTATCTCATTGTGAGTTTTGATATGCATTTTCCTGATGGCTCATGATGTTAAGTATCTTTTCATGTGCTATTGGCCATTTGTGTATCTTCTTTGGAAAAATGTCTATTTAGATTCTTTACTCACTTTTAAATTTGGTTGTTTGTCTTTTTATTATTGAGTTGTAAGAGTTCTTTATGTAATCTAAACACGAGTTCTTTATCAGATATATGATTTGCAAATATTTTGTTCCATTATATGAGGTGTCTTTTTACTTTCTTGATGGTGTCCGTTGAAGCACGAAAGTTTTTAATTTTGATAAAGGTTTATTTATTTGTTTATTTCATTTGTACTTTGTGTATCTTATCTAAGAAGGCATTGCCTAATCTAAGGTCATGAAGATTTTCAGTTTTTTTCTAAGGGTTTTATATTTTTAATTCTTATTTTTAGGTCTATGATCCATTTGGTGTTAATTTTTATGTATGGTGTGAGGTAGGGGTCCAACTTCATGTTTTTTTAGCATGTGGATGTCCAGTTTCCCAGCACCAATTTTTGAAAAGGCTATTCTTTACCCATTGAACTGTCATGGTTCTTGTGTCAAAATTCAATTAACCATACATGTAAGAGTTTATTTCTGGACTCACAATTCTTTCCACTTATCTATATGTCTATCCTTATGCCAGTAGCACACCATCTTGATTACTGTAGCTTTGTACTAAGTTTTGAAAGTGAGAAGTGTGAATCCTCAAATTTTATTCTCCTTTTTCAAGATTGTTTTGACTATTCTGGGTCCATATGGATTTTAACATCAGCTTGTCAATTTTTTAAAAAAGAAAAAGCAGCTGGAATTTTCATAGGGATTATGTTCAATCTGTAGATCAGTTTGGGGAGTATTGCTATCTTAACAATATTAAGTCTTCTGATCCATGAACATGGAGTGTTTTTCCATTTATTTAGGTCTTTTAAAATTTCCTTCAACAATGTTTTGAAGTTTTCAGAGTACAAGTATTACACTTCTTTTCTTAAAGTTATCCCTGAATATTTTGTTCTTTTTGATACTATTGTGAGGGGAATTGTTTTCTTAATTTCATTTTTGGATTGTTCATTGCTAGTGTATAAAAATAAAATTGATTTTTTTAAACAAACAAGCTAATTAAAAAATGGGCAAAAGATCTGAACAGACATCTCTTCAAAGAAGATTTACAGATGGCCAACAGGCACATGAAAAGATGTTCAACATCACTAATTATTAGGGAAATGCAAATCAAAACTACAATGAGATATCACCTTACACCTGTCAGAATGGCTATAATGAACAAGACAGGAAATACCAAGTGTTGGAGAGGATGTGGAGAGAAGGGAACCCTCATACACTGCTGGTGAGAGTGCAAACT